GGGCCAGCAGGTGGCATGGTGGTTGAGGCACTGGACTCCCACATGGCCAACCACAGTTTGAGTCCCAGACTTGGAGGCTTGCTTTCCCATATTCATTCATTCATATTCTCTCTCTCTCTCTCTCTCTCTCTCTCTCTCGCTCTCTCAATAGCATGTGCTTTATAGCAAATTTAAAATAATAATAATAATAAATAAAATATGTTTTAAAAAATCCATCTTAAAAATAATGAAATTCTTGGAATAAAACAATATTCTATTTCTCTCTTTTAAAGTTAGTATCAAACTGTCCATATTGGTCTGCACTTTGCTTGTTTCACTGAACATTATACATCTCAGAGAATTTTTTTATTTTAGTACACAAAGCACTTCCCCTTTTTTTCTTTTTTATTTTTTTGGAGAGGTTTTTGCTATAGGGCGTGTGTGCTCGCCAGACAGACAGAGAGAGACAGAGATAGAAAGCGAGAAATCACCCCTCAGGAGGGATGGCCATGCCGCAATCCCTTCTCCTCCTTTCTCCTCTCGTGATCTCAGGCACGCACACACATGCGCCCGGCATGAGTTTTAAGCCACTGGGTCCGGGACTCGAACTGCAGTCAACTACCTGGGAGTCCAGCGACATAGCCATTACACTAACTGCTGGTCCCTTCCCCATTTTTAATGACCTCTTGGTACCCTTTGTATGTATCAATAGACATTTCAATTTTGTCAACTCTCTTGCCTTACAAGCAGTGCTGCAGTGAGTAACCTTGTATATGCGTCATTCCTCTCAGGGCAAGTGACGCTGTAGGATAAGTAGAACTGCTGAGTCAGTTTTGCATTTGCTATTTTAATAGCTGTTGCCAAATTGCCTTCCATCAAGGTGAGGCCAAGTTAAAATCCCACCATCAGTACTGCCTGCACCCTTGCTGAATGTGTAATAGCTATTTGCATTGCCAAAAAAGAAAACCAGTTGCTCATTTCTGATTTCTGACTTTTAACTTTGTAGAACGTTCATGAAGAAGTCTTACAAGAGTATCAGAAGATCAAGCAGGTAGGCATCGCCACTGTCAGTTTTCTGACCTGTAACTGAGAAGTGTTATAAATTTGGCAACCTAATTCCTCATGTCTTTTTCATCTACAGTCTAGTCCCAATTATCATGAAGAAAAATACAGATGCGAGTACCTTCACAACAAGCTGGCTCACATCAAAAGACTAATAGGTGAATTTGACCAACAGCAAGCAGAGTCATGGCACTAGAACCCTGCTTGGACCAGAAGATGTGAATAAACTTAAGCTTATTTATTTAAAATTCCAAATGAGTTGCTCTAGATTCTAAAAAGATGAAACTTTGCCTGTTAAAAGTTTCAGTATTAGTAAACTTGAGTTACCTTTTTTTTTTTTTTTTTTTCCAACTTTGCTTCCCTGCATTTCGAAGCTGCTTTTTCTGGTCCTTTTTACCCTTCAAGACTTGTGTTTGTTAATAGAAATAATTTTTTTAGATATTGGGGATCCAGTGTCTATACTTCAAATCAAATTGTTTTCCTCAAAAATTTGTGTTTGTCACTAGAAATGATTTTTTTTAGGTATTGGGGATCCAATGTCCACACCTAAAAGTTGTGTGTGTTTGAAAACAAAAAAAAAACAAACAAACAAAAAAAACAAAAACCAGTAACGTGCAAGAGGAGATGCTTTTGGATAAACATAAGCCTATTTTCTGACCTTTCTTAATGCAAACTCTTTGCCTTAAATGGTAGAATATTTAGAAACTTGCACAAAATACACAAAAAAAATAAATAAATGAACATTGTTTTGGAGGGTTAAAATATAGAAAGTGTATGAAAATGCATATCGATGTACACGTGCATACGTATCAAGGCTGACTTGATCTATTGAAACAACGGTAAATCCGCCCTGCAAGTTAACCCCCCATCGCAATGGTTGCCTTAAGGTGTTTGCTAGTCGTGTACCTAGTGTGGTTAATCATTAGCTACACTGCTTCCCACTTGATTAGAGCAACGGGAAGCACACTGTGGCCTACCAGCGTCTGGAAGTGTGTGCTCTACCTATATGTGTGCAGAGGTGGTGTGGATGTGAGCGTGCATGAAGGAAAAAAAGCTGCTACTCCCAGTAGGCCAAACGCTCAGGTTAAACAACTGACGAGTGTTACTGTAGGGTTTTCTTTTGTTTTTTTGTGTTTTGTTTTGTTTTGTTTTTCCTGTCAAATTGCTACTTCTATTGTGGAAGACAAAAGCATTTCCATTTCAACAGTCTGTCAGCTTTATTAATGTTGGGCAAAAATTAATATTATGAAAATGAAACAAATCTATAGTTTTGGGCAAAAAAATATAAAATTAAATGTGTAGGTAACCTATTTATATACTGCTATAAAGTATTTTTTGAAGAGAGATATGCAAAGAAGCTATTACCTACATGAAATGTATATTTAAAGATTTTTTTTTTCATCCTGGGTGCCAGGAATATAAAAGAGAGCAGATATATTTAACCATAACATACTGTGATTCATCAAACAGCACAAACTTTCATTTCATGGAGTTTATCTGTTGACGTTGATTTAAACTATCACTTGTTTTATCATGTGGGAACATAAGTTATGTGGTCAAACATACAAGAATTTTGAACTGATGTTGATTCAAGTTGTGTTGTCTTATTGTATTGTCTTTTCAAAGTGCTGCCAGTTGAAAAGGGAAGCATTATGTTTACAAATCTGTTTTGAAATGTTTGCCAAAATTTTGGTAGTATCTTTAATAAAGATGTTTGTCTCCAGCATCCAAAAAAAGAAAAAAAAAGAAATAACTTTGTTGCGTATCACTGTAAACCAGAAAATGTTGGTATCTAGAAAATGTCGAGATAGCATATAGGTTAACTTTGCCTTTGGTGTTCTTCTAAAACACGAACTGGACTGATTAGGTAATAGATTTAAAATACACAAACATGTGCAGGCTACACAAAGACTGAAACAAGGCCCCTGTGCTCTGCAACTCTATAGCATTCCTGGAGAAAGTTGACTTCTATGAACATAAACCTCCTAGGGAGTTCTGTTTCTTTTAGCAATGAGATCCCTGGTGCTCCTCCTCTTACCTCGGAACTAGTACAATCATTTTTAAATGCTAATTTATTTCAAATTTTCAGTTGCAAAATGAGAAAGAAACTCATTGCAGATAAATTTGGTACTGTATTATTAAGGTAGAGTCTCCCGAGGGGTTTCTCTATAGGTCATGTCACTGGTGTTACTTTCTAGACATCCTGGCCTTTTCATCGGAGATCCCGTGCTGCTGTTTGCTGTGAGCAATGTTTCTCAAAAGCAAGGTGCTTACACCACTTGCATCACTCAGTTAGAATCTCTAGGTATAAGGCCCGGTATCTGCATTGTCATCGTTTCCCAAAGGTCATTTTTGCAAGCTGAAGTGTGAGAATCATTGTCTCAGATGTAGCTCTCAACTTTTAGGCCCGTAAGTCTCAAAATCTTGTACTGAAGGTCAACTATTGGCTTTTATTTAAGAAGCCAATCCCTGTCAACTGGTGCAAGTCACTTTTCCCCTCTGCGTGACCTGAGGCACCCCCTCAGAGTTTGTTTCACTGCCAACTCTTGTTTCAGAACCTGTTTACAAACAAGCCTTCCAGTTGGTTAATTAATGTTAGCCCATGGAGCGCCTTCCCACCTGCATCAGCACATCTTCTGGTTTACAAGTTGGGTAACATGGAAGCTGGAGGTACTTTGTGGAAATCCAGCAGTGCACACCCATAGACTTGACCATGTACCAGAAAAAGCCTTAATTGAGATGTTTGTTGTATACATTCAACAGATTTTCGCAAAATGTGTATCTGTCAGTTGCAAATCTGAGAGTTGTATTCTCTGTGAATCTGCTATTACCCAGGGTTGCATGCATCCCTTTTGAAGATGGGCATGAGCCTAGTAAGCTATTTATAATCATTTTTCATCTCCTACTGCAAGATTTTTAGATTCTCACAAACGATTGCTCCAGAAAGGGTGATTACTCTGGTGGAAGAACTTACTTCATTTTTTGTGTTGTTGTTGTTGTTGTTGTCGTCGTCGTTTAGGTTGTTTGTGTTTCGGAGGAACAGTAAATGTAAAACAGCATTGTCCACATTAGAGAATAAGTGGTGGTCTTTTTTCATCACATTTCATCCGAAATAATTTGAAGGACTCTTCTAGAATTTCACTGACACCCATAAATCAACTCCAGATTGAAAGGGTGGCTGATTTGGGATTTGGGGTTCGTTGTTTTGTTTTGTCGTGTTTTTTAACATGGGGATTTCAGCTCCTATGGCGTTGGTTATTTATTTCCCATGGACTATTTTAGAAGATTTAACTTTCAGCTCTTTAAGTAGCAGTAAATGTTCAGCACTTGCTCTCAAGAAATAATTGGTGTGATCAATTTAGATCATTGCTCCATGAATTAATTATAAAAATCAGTGTTAATTTTCTTTCCTCTCTGATTGATCTAATAACCTTTCTAGAAGTCTTTTCCCTTGAAGTATTTCACCTTCTTATGTAAAACAAATGCAGATTTGCATATTGGAGGGGAGATGTTGAGATGAGGTTTAGACAACAATGGTCCATAGTTCAGACACTGCCTGGGTGCCTTACCCTTCCCATTAGTGCATTCTTTGCTTCTGGAACTTGGCTGAAAGTGTTCAGCCAATTCATTGTCTTTCCAGCAGTGTGAGTGTCGAGTCACGTATGCTTGGTATATGCCTTTACTGCATTGGAAGTTCTTACAGTTTATTACTTGCCCAAGTATTACTGAATCCTTTTCTTATGAGTACTGGGTAGGGGGAAAACTACAGCCAGCACTTTGAGAGGACTGTTTTGGGAAAAGATATTTACTGACACTACTAAATGAAGGCCGCAGAAGATGTTATCGATATTCTTTGTAACCTGAAAGTTGAACAAGGCATGGAGGCTCATTTCAAACTATTTGGAAGTGTTAAAAATTTATATTTGCTGTTTTTCAGTTGTTCCACCCAAACCATGTTAGGACTCTCGGAGGGAAAATGTCACAGGGGCTCTTGAGTTGTTACTGAGCTCAGCAGCTGTGGCGGCCCCTGTTGTTCTACACCAATTTCAGTTCAATAAAAAATGTTAACTTTGCAATCCTGGTACTCGTTTTTCCTTTGTGTCATTTCAAGGCTTTTAACTTTTTCTTTTTTTAAAAAAAAAAAGATAAAATGTTCTCTGATGCCCTGTTGTAAATGATCTTCCTGGGACAGAGATGTCACTGTCAGTGACTAGGAAATAGGGGCAGGGTCTTTAGTCCAGGACTCCGCCTGTGTGTAAGTGCAAAAATGTGTCCCCCCCCCACCAAAAAAAGGCAATGTCTCTAGGAGGACAGTGATCCCAGTGAGCAGTTGGTGACGGTTTTCTCTCTGTTATATACTTTCTTTGCATGTGTTGTCCCGTTTCTTCTCCCCACCTATCTCCATGTTACAGATAAGTAAGCTGAAGCTTAGAGAAGTTGAGGAACTTGGCCATCACACAGATGGAAGCTCCTGAGAAGTGTGACGCCAGCAACTGTGTTCTTTGAAAAAAATAATAATAATTCTTTTATTGAACTTTACTTATGTTTTTTATTTTAATTTGATCAGAGAGGGTAACACTGAGAGAGAGAGAAAGTGAGAAAGCAAGGCAACAGGTCCAGGACTCAAACCGTGGTCGACTGTGTGAGAGTCCAGCGCTCCTAACCACCCACGCCACCTGCCGGCCCGAGCAGCTATATTCTTAACCACTTCTCCACACTGCCCCTCATGCGTTTATGTAGGGCAAATCTAATCTTCTCAATGACAATTCCAGTGATACCACACAGGCCAGAAAAACCCTGTTGGTCCCATAGAGACTAGGGTGTAGGGGTTGGGGTGAAGGCTAGTGGATTATTCTCAGTGAGTTGATTTCTCAGAAATGATAGCATAAATTTGAATGGAGGCCAAATATTGGAGAAAATGTCTTTGAGAAAATGTTTTGAATGTGCACAGTCTTGACACTGAGTTGTTCAAACGTGGGTCAGTGCAGGTGGGGGTGGGGGTGTGATCTTGTGATCATATCATTTTCTCTTTATTTTACCAGACTACCTAAGGAGCAGACTCCCGCTCTAGGGGCTAACCTGTCCAAACTAGACAGGACATTCTCCTAGCCAAACCCAGCCTCCAGTCTCTGAAGTGTTCTGAAGGAAGACTATAGGAGGAAAAGAAGAAAACCGCCATTAAGCACCGGTATTGACCTAGGACGATGAGTGGCAGAAGTGACAGGTTAGGTTTAAGAGGAGCTGTGAGGATGACTGAGGTTTGAATGTCGTCATTGTATCAGCAGCCCTCCCTCCCCCCCCCAGCCATGGAAAACATGATATTTGACTCCTTGTCCTTGTCTGTAAAGTGAAAATATGTCCCCATACTGGATGATGAAAGCGGTTTCATAATTGTAGGAAAAGTACTTGGGAATTCTTTGAAAAATAATTACCTGAAGTTGGATTATGTGCCGAATGCAATAAGGAGTGCTTGCTGAAGCATGACTTTCCAGGCGAGATCGAATCCATTTTAATTGATTGAATCTATCTTGACTGATCGCAAAGGGGACAAAAGCAGAGAGAGGCTTGAGGTTTCAAGGTGGGGTATTTGGAGTTTGTTTGGTTGAATGTGAGACATACAGGTACCTGTTCTGCAGGTTTTTCGTTTCAGAGGTTGGGCCAGGAGGCTGGCCGTGGCAGTAGGTGCTCTGATATTTTATGATTGCTTAATTCTCGGTGTGGGGTGGTGAGATGATTCTGTGGATGTAGCTGTGGAGATGTGTCATTTCCCACCCGTACCCGCCTGATTTGACCCACCGGCCAGGCTGGGTTTTCCTACTGCATTAGGGCATTGGTGCCGTGGTAGCGCCTGCAGATGGACAGCACGAACGCCTCGCTGAGGTCTATGGAGTGAAGGAAGTGCTTCCCACAGAGGTGCACACATCAGGCTGCCCTCGCATACTTCGTGAATGCCAAATGGGCTTACAGAATTCCACGGGTCCTAGTGCACACGGGCAACAGGATCGCCCCCCGCAGTCTCACTTCCTGCCTCCCCACTCTGCACACCAGTCACGCAGGCCTTCCTTCAGGCTCTCCAGACCCCTCGCTCCTCGGTCCCAAGGCCTTCCATGCTAAGTAAGCTCTGTACCATGAGCTCCATCCATACCCCTTCCTCACTTCCTAATCCTCTTCATCCTTAAGATATCCACTTCCTCCAGGAAACCTTCCCTCAGCCTTTCTTTCCTGGCTGGGACCACCTGTCGAGACTCCCTGGCATATGAAATGGATGTGGAAAGGCAGTGAGGAGTATATGCTGCAGCACTGTTCTCCAGGTGCAGATAATCCATGCTGGTATTGCAAAGGGGGCGAAAGGGAGACACGCTTGAGACTGCAAGGTGTGGCGTGTGGTTTGTGTAATCGAACGCGAGATGTTTTATTGAATGCTGCTCGTTCATGGCATTTTCCACGATTATAACTGGATACTAATTGCATTACTAAGCTCCATGAGAGTGGAGACTGTCATATTCACCAGGTGTCCACAGCCTTGGCCTAGTGCCTGGAATATAAAAGGTTTTCAGTAGGAATTTATTGAAAGGAGAAATGAGGCAGACTATTTATATAGGTCATATTTAAAATTCATAAGGTCAGAGCATTTGGATTACTGCAAAAATCTGCTATATCATTCAGGTTTGTGTGCCTTGCTGCTTTAGCTACCCGAAGTCATAGACTAGTTAGCGATTAAGGTGCTGGACTCCCACATGGCTGACAGCAGTTCGAGTCCTGGACCCGCAGGCTTGAAACACACTGGGCGCTTGTGCATACATACCCAAAATCCCAAGAGGAGAATGGAGAAGGGATTGTGGTGTGGCCATCCCCCCAGGGGGGTGATTTCTCACTTTTTACCTTTCTGACTGTCTCTGTCTCTCCGATAGGTGCATGCACCCTATAGCAAAAATATCTTTTAAAATAAAAAGAATTAAGCCAACCAGCAATATGGTTGAGGTGGGTGGATCCCACACAGCTGGCTGTGCAGTTCAAGTCCCGAGCCCGGCTTGAGAATCACGCTGGGCACGTGTGAGTGCATGCCCAAAGTTCTAAGAGAAGAATGGAGGAGAAAGGACTGCAGCATTGCCATCTCGCAGGGGGTGATTTCTCACTTTCCCCACTACTCCCCGCTATGGTGAGTGCAAGCACCATACTGCAAAAACACTAAACAGAAAAAAAAAAAAAATTAGCAGACCGTCTAGGCAGTGCAGCAGTTAAGCATTATACATACAGAATGGGTCCTATGTGACTAATCACAGTTCTAATCTGCTCCCAGTAGCTTGAAAAACACACTGGGCATGTGTGCATGCATACACACAATCTCAGCAGGGTGGGGAACTGTAAGTTAGAGCAACAGACTGGTGTCCATGGAAGACTAGTTTTACTTAGGGTGTCCTTCCCCATGATTAACTAACTGCACACCTTTGAAAGGGATATTGAAGTTATTTCTAGAGTCTGAGCATCCAAACAGTCTATAATGGCTCGGAGCATGAAATGAAATGGCTTTACAAGTTACTTCTATTGGGGCCAGCAGGTGGCATAATGGTTAAGGCACTAGACTCCCACATGGCAGACTGTGGTTTGAGTTCCAGACCTGGTAGCCTGAAAAATCATGCCAGGCATGTAGGCAAGCATTCCTGAAACCCCAAGAGGAAATTGGAGGAGGAGGAGTTGCAGCATGGCCATCCCCTGGAGTGGGGGAGGGGAGGCGGTGATTTCTCACTCTCCTTCTCACTGTCTCTTTGGCAAGCGCACATGCCCTATGGCAAAAAGCTAAGGAAAAAATTTAAATTACTTGTATTATGTATCAGAACTTGCAGATGGGTTTAAGTTACTTTCCTATTAATATGGGTTTTTTCTCAATAGCTTTCACTTCTCAAGAACATAGCAGAGGACAGCAGTGTATTGTGTGCTGTGCCTCATTGGTCCATCTTCCTGAAGCATCTCTAGGCTGGTGTTTCTGTGAATTCCTATCTGTAGCATTTCAACGATAATCGAAGGACTGTGGGGCTCTCGCAATGACAGAGTTTGCGGAGCCCATCAGCGGCACCCAGAACAGCTGCCTTCATTTGGTCCATGACGAACTAAGAGCACCCAACAGCACACCGCAGAGCAGGAGACCCAGGGACTCATGTACCTTCCTGGCGAGGCCAACAACAGCCCACGGCCACTACTGAAAACTGATACCAAGACCGCTCCTGGCAGAGGGTCAGACAAGCTGCTCCATGGCCGTTCAGAACACGGAGTCAGAAAGCCGGGCTCAGCGTTCTGGCCTTAGAACTCACAAGGTATTTCCCAGTGTAGACAGCCCTTCACCCATAGTTTCCCTTCTGTGAGTGGTCTAGGACCTACCTTGGAGGTTGTACACACAGTGGTGCGTGGTCCCTATGTTTTCTATATGTATTTTTGTATATTTTTAAGTTATTCTTTTCCTTTTTTTTTTTTTTTTTTTTTTGCCACGAGGAGCTTGTGCTCACCAGAGAGAGAATAAGAGGGGAAATGAGAAATCACCCCCCACCACCACCAGGGGAATGAACACACCAAAGTCCCTTTGTTCTCCTGGGGTTTCGAGCACATACCACACACACACACACACACACACACACACACACGCACGCACATATGCATGGAGTGATTTTCAAGCCACCAAGTCTGGGACTCGCACCA